CAGGAATGAACCTCGACGTGCCGCGGCGACTTCTCCGGCGCGAGCGTTGCCGCTTGCACGCGCAGGCACCTCCGGCAGTGAACGGAATCCCACATATGAAACGCACGCGACGATGCGAGGCGCGCCGAGGGTGATGTGCGATTCGGAGAATCCGGCGGAGCGGGTGCTGGCCGACGTAGAACTGCACGCATCAGCGAGCCGTGCTTCCGAATCCTGCGCGACGTTGTCCCAAGGGCTTGCAGCAGGTCGTGTGCCGCTGCCGTACTCGACGTCGCTCATTGCTGCTCGCAGGCCTGATAGAAAGTCGATCGGGCGAACGTGAGCGCACCTCGCAGAGAGTCGAGCTGTTGTTAATATAGGGAAGCGTGCTCGCAAGAAGTCGAACGGGGCATCGTGACGGCGACCTGCGCAGAAGAGGTCGGCCTTGTTAATTAAGGGAAATGTTGCTCGAAGAAGTCGACTGGGAACTGTGACGGCACCTGCGCCAGAGAGGTCGCTGTTGTTAATTAGGGTAGCCGTGCTCGAGAGAAGTCGATCCGGGGAAATCGGTGACCGGCAGCGCCTGCGCAGAGAGGTCGGGCTTGTTGTTAATTAGGGAACGTGCGTCATCTGCTGGCAGTGCCGACAGAAGTCGATCGGGGAACGAGACACTGCCGGCACCTGTCGCAGAGAGGTCGGGCTGATTGGTTAATTAGGGAGCGTGCTCGAAGAAAGTCGAGCGGGTAACGTGACGGCACCTGGTCGCGAGAGAGGTCCGGTGCTTGTTGGTTAATTAAGGGAACGGTGCTCATTCTGCGTGGGCAGTGCTCGAAGAAGTCCGATCGGGGAACGTGAACGGCACCGTTGCGCTAGCTAGAAGGTCGGCTGTTGGTTAAATTTAGGGACGTGCTGCGATAGAAGTCGATTGGGGAACGTTGACGGCACCTGCGCAGAGGGTCGGCCTGTTGTTGAATAGGGAACTTGTGCTCGAAGATAGTCAACGGGGACGTGATGGCACCTGCGCAGTTAGAGTCGGGCTGTTGTTAATTAGGGAACTGCTTCGAAGAATCGACGGGGAACGTGACGGCCACGCCTGCGCAGAGAAAGGTCGGGCTGTTATTAATTAGGAAACGTGACGGCGACCGTGCGCAGAGAGGTGGGCTATATTATTAGGGAACGTGCTCATGCTGCTGGCAGAGCTCGAAGAAGTCGACGGGGAACGTGACGGGCAACCTGCGCGAGAGAGGTCGGGCGCTGTTGTTAATCTTAGGGAAAGCGTGCTTCGATAGAAGTTCGACTGGGAACGTGAACGGCACCTAGCGCAGAGAGGTCGGCCTGTTGTTAATTAGGGACCGTTGCTCGAAGAAGTCGACGGCGAACGTGAACGGCACCGTGCGCAGAGGAGGTCGGCTGTCTGTTAATTAGGGGAACGTGCTCGACAGAAGTCGACGGGGACGTGAGCGGCACACTCGCAGAGAGGTCGGGCTGTTGTTAATTCAGGGATACGTGCTCAAGAAAGTCGACGGGGAACGTGACGGCACTGCGCAGAGAGGTTCGGCGCTGTTTGTTAGTTTTTATTGATATATGTAGGGAACGTGCTCCGAAGAAGTCGAGCGGGGGAACGTGACGGCACCTGCGCAGATGAAGGTCGGGTCTGTTCGTTAAATTTAGGGAACGCTGCCCTTCGAAGAAGTCGACGGGAACGTGCACGGCACCGCGCAGTAAAGGTCGGGCTGTTATTAATTAGGAGAAACGTGCCTCATCTGCTGGCAGTGCTTCGAAGACGTCGAGTTCGGGGGAACGGAAACGCACTGCGCAGAGAGCGTCGGGCTGTTGTTTAAATTAGGAACGTCTCAATTCTGCGTGTCATGTGCTCGAAGAAGTCGAGCGGGAACTGTGATTGCGCACCTGCGCAGAAGAGCGCGCTGTTGTTAATTAGGTGAACGTGTCTCATCTGCTGGCAAGTGCTCGAAGAAGTCGACGGGACGTGAGGCACCTGCACAGAATAAGGTCGGGCTTGTTGTTTAATTAGGGAACTGTGCTCATTCTGCTTGCAGAGCTCGATAGAAGGTTACAGGGGAACCGGTGACGGCAAGTCCTGCGGCAGAGAGGTCGGGCTGTTGTTAATTAGGGAACGTGCTTCGCAATGAAGTCGACGGGGAAACGTGACGGCACCTGCGCAGAAGGTCCGAGCTGTGTGATTACGAAGTGGAGGCGCGTCGCTGGTTGTTCATTAGGCTGAACATGAAGACAGCAGCGAAAGCGATATATTATTAGATATAGATATTATAAATATAGATAAGCCCCTGGACGCACTCCCCTCTAACCTCAAAACCCCTACGGCAAGGCGCACTGACGCCAATCACTGCTAGCCTAGAACCACATTGCACACTTGCTGTCTAACCCGCCACACTCACCCTCGGCTCCGGTACTTTCGGCGGCGCCGCTTCTTCTTACGTGGCTTCGCCGCGCTGCCTGGCGGGCGACTGCTGGCGGAATGGCAGCTTCTCGGCTGAAGCCAAGAAAGCCAGTCTGATCGGCGTTGGCCATGTAGATGCGCAG